ATCTCTTGGAAATTAAAAATTCAAACCAGGCTCCCTAAGCAAATAGGAGAAAAAACCATAAGAGCCTGCTCAGCCCCCAGTGCCTGTTTGGCAATGGGGAGCACAGTCAAACTAAGCTGGTTTTGGTTCTTCTTTGCCTGTAGAAGGTAATCCGTATTCTGTTCCAAATCCCACAAATTTTTCTTGTGATTACAACTCCCTTAAATGTATTCTGTGCTCTGAAACGTGTCTGGTTCCACAGCTAGAATCTCTGTTTTTGAACTTGTCACAAAGTAACATATAAATGTCATTTTAACGTGTATTTATTAGATAGGCATTTCCCTGAACGCTGTCTTCATAAAATAGCATAGGAAGCACATTCATTACAAAGCTTTACTGTGCTGTGATGAGAGACTTCTAAGTGGAAAATGAACTCTGTTATGCTGTTGTGATTCAGTTTTATCTTAAAAGCATCTCAGCAGAGAAGTGGGGAAGGTGAATTATTCCAGATGCTTTATCTCCCACCCATTGTGAGAGGTGCTCTTTGCCATGCACAGCTCAGTCTTAACAGAAGTGGTCCAAGGACATGGCAGGAATTATTATTGCTGTCTTACAGAGAAGCAGCACTGACATACAATTACTCTCAGTCTCTTGGGAGGCTTGACACAACCAGGAACTGAGATGCAATCCAGGTGCTTTCCTCCCCAGAAAAGCTCCATTTTGGACAAAGGCTCCATTGTGCTGAGTGCCACCCAAAAATGAGACACAGGCGAGGTCCCCCGTCCCAGCAGACCCCCCTGGGACAGAAGACTGCGAAGCACTGTGTGAGGATTTGATTTGATCTGAGGTGCTCTGCCTGGTGCTGTGAGCCGTATGAAACGGAACTTGAGGGACATGAAGTGCAGCCTGTTCAGGACTAGTCTGAGTATCTAGGGAAGTTAGTAAATGCACTTAGGACATGCCTTTGCCTGGTCTTATGGGGCTTGATTCAGTTGAAAAGCTAAAATAGGGGCTTCCCTTTAGCCCCTAACTTAGATTTTTTGGTGTTCTGGTTAGTACTTTTGCTGCTGGTTTGTACCAACCCTGTGGTGTCTCACGCCGGTGTTCTTGGTGTGGCTGATGGACTTGGGTGGTTCTGTTGATCACATGCATTAATGTTTATCTTATGTTAACACCAGGGTCTAGTTAGCCTTAAAAAACACATAAAAGGTGGTTTGTACCCCTTACCTATCTCTGGAATCAGGTGCTTCCCCTATTCCATAAGTCTTTCACACCCTTCTGGTTGGAAGCAAAACCTGCAGGGGCTTTGCTCTGTTTTTGTGCAGTGTTCCTAAAGATCTCCTTGATCTTGAAGCAAAGTACAGCCTGAAGGGGTTATCTGCACAGAGAATGTGACCCAGCCGAACAGAGTTTCCCAACCAAAATACCTTTAATCTGACTGCAAAAAGGGTTTGGACCTTGTGAACACCTTCCTAGGGCAAAAGCCAAGTGGTCACAACCCAAATTGGGAGGACACTCTGCAGTGGGTTCACGGTGTGACACATCTTCCCTCCTTTCTCATGCTGAATCCTTCAGGCTTTGAAGAGGAAAACCACGGGTTTCTCATTAAAAAAAAAAAAAAAAAAAAAAAAAAAAAAGCTCCCTGGGTCCCCTTTGTTTTTCCTGCAACTTTATCCTCTGGAAGTAACACGATAAAACGGGAAGTGCCATGTTTTGAAAGGATGCTTTGTTTCAATGTGAAAGAGGCAGCTCCAGCAGTTTTCTGGATCCCTGATGTGTTTTTGAATGGCATCCAAAGTTTGGGTCAGGATAGACAGGAAGCCAGATGGGGATGTTTCTGTATTTTCTGAGTCAAATTGCTTCCCATGCTCTAAGGAGTTCCAGTCTCTGGAGAACCCAGCTGTGATGGAGTTGGAGCTTTTAATTCCTGTAATGCTGACAGATCTACCAGCCCCTGTGCTGAAGGCATGTTCTTGCCTGGTGGAGCAGACAGTGGTATCCTGCATGTTGGGATGGGAGTTCATTCCTGGAAAACTTCTGGGAAGACAAATGTGTGGTCCAGCAGGAGTGAAGGGTTCGGTGCCATATGCAGAAAGATGTATGTTTTCATGCATATGGTGATTATTTGAGACAATCACTGGCTTAGTGCTTAGTTTTCCTCGGGGACCATTTTTTCATGATATCTGGTATTTTCTAAAGGCCTGTGCACTTAGAGGAGCTGGAAGTTAGCCATGGTGATCCAAATGAAATGGAAAAAAGATGCAGGTTTTTCAGATTTATTTTTTTAGGATATTTATTTAACTGTAACAGTTTCACAGAGGTCGTTGCTGATGTGCACAGAGTCATTTTAGCAAGAAAGCATTCTGCCAGCATGGCTGTGTTTTATTGCTGGTGGAATTATGATTAGATTAGGGAGAAGATTGGAGCCACAGGAGGGGGAGTGCAGTGGGAGCTGGAATTTGGATGGATCTGAAGGGGAAGGCTCATTGCTTGAATTGCTGCTGGGAATGAAAGTGCTTTTGAGCATTCAGAGGGAGCTGCTGGCCTCTGATGGGCCCTGCAGTGCTCAGATTGCTCTTGGATGAAGATGAGGAACCCAAAAGGCTCCATCCTCGTTGTTTTTGCTTAGGCTGGGTTAAAACACGCAGAAAGGATGTTCTCAGTAGCAACACTTTGGGGCACTGAACACTTCAATGGCAAATTCTGTCACCCAAAACTGTGATGGAATCGACTGGAAACACTGAAGATGGGGAGGATTTGGTGTGTGTCGTGCCTGTCCTTTGCATTGCCATGGTGAGGCTGCTGCTGCCAGCTCTGCTCCTCTGTGCCCACCGGGTCCTGCTTCACCTGGGGCTGCCCAGCCCAGCAGGGGCACTGCCCTGGGTGTCTGCTGTGGGGAGCAGTGCTGGCTTGGGGCAGGAGTCACCAGGTGCTGTGGGTGAGAGGAGCAGCTGAGGACTCGCCCTCCTTGGGGTGCCAAGGGCTCTGGCAAATCTTCAGAGTGATGGAGGCTGAAAGCACCAATTCAGTGAAGGCTTTCCAGAGCTTTGGAATGCCACCTCCTGCTGCCTGACTGTGGCTTGTGAGTGCTTTGAGCTCTCAAAGCTGAGTGGATCCTCTGGGAAACAGGCCAGCACTCCCTGAGCCGGCTCTGGAGCCCTGGGAGCTGTGGGCAGCAGTTTTCCAGGTGTCTTGTTGGAGGGAGAGCCAGACACACCTTTGGGTGACCTGCTCCAACCCAAGGTACAGCTTTGCCATACATGTTCCAGACAGAGCAACACTCTGCAGTTTGGGCAGGAAGCTGAAGGGTTGGGTCCAACAACTTGGAAAACATTCTATCTCTTGCTGGCACAGTCTCATGCAACAAAAATGAGGTTTTAATCACTGCCCCTCTTTCCATACTTAGAAGCCCCTTACAAGCAGCTAACTCCTTTTGAATGGAGAGCATTGCAGTGTGAATATATTTTTCTTCTTCTTTTTTCTCCCCCCTAACCTACTTAACTAATTTTCAGGATGCTGGCAATTGCCATGCATTATTTATACTGCTGCAAACCTTGTATTTGGGATGAGAAATCCTACTGTCAGGCTTCCTGCTTCTAATAAGCATTCCTTTCAGTGCATTATCTCCCTGCACAGCCCAGGGCTGCTCTTGCCAGGGACCCAGCTGGTGTGACTCGATGGCTTTGTGGCGTGGGGAGCCTGACTGGTGCAGCGGATCCCTGAGCTCCTGTGTTGCTCATCAGCAGAGAGACACAGGCTCCTGCTCCAGCAAAAGGAGGGGGATGAGCAGAGGCAGGAACCACCGTGGGATTGAGTGACAGAAGTCCTGATTTTCCATGACCCGCTGTCTTGTGTTGCTACTCGAACCTGTGCAACCTGAATTTAAAATGCTTCCATCTTCCTCCCCTGCCACCCAGTCTGGATGAAAACAGAAGGTGAAACAGGAGGACAGCCAGTGCAGCCCCTGGAACAAAATGCTTTGAGGTTCCTAAATCTGTCTCTGTCACACTGGATCAGTTGCCAGGGCCTGTGCCGCCACCTCTCTTTGTTCATTTGGAAGATAACTCATTCCTTAACAGCTGAAATGGCTTCTGACAAACCTTCCCTTTGAAAATCGTGCTCAAGGACACTGCTCTTCCACTGTTTGCACAGGCAAAAATATTCTGGGGAGGATTTTTTTCCCCCCTCTCTTTTATCTGAGGCAGCATAATAAAATACCTTAGATAAACAAATTTATTCTTGGAGGGATGTTTATTAGGCGCTGGCAATCCCTATGATAAATAATTTCTCTGGGAGGGAAGAAAAAAAAAATAAAAAAACTAAATAGAAAGTAGGGCAAGGCAATGATGTGAGTGCCGGGATGAGGCAGAGGGAGAGGAGGATGTGGAGGCTCCTCTCGGCTCGTGGGGGTCTCAGATGCTCCCGCAGTGCCACCTGCAGGGGAACCCACGGGGGCCTGGGGCAGGAGAGGCTCCCCCATCGTGTCGTGCTCGTTTTCTGAGGATTTGGGAAAAGCAGAGACAGGATGTGGCAGCGAATCCCCCCGTGGGAGACACTTTACACACACCTGGTAGGGGGGCACAAACAGCTGGGGCTGTTGGTTGGTGCCAGAAATCAAACAATAACGTGTGAGAACTGGTGTTTTCTGTTAGTGCAGAGATTGAAGACGGGTTCCAAGGTGGGATGTGTGAGGGGAAAGTGTCAGTTTGAGACGTATTTTTGTTTTCTGTTTTTTTTCAGTAAAATCGAAACCGCGAGACTTTCATTTTGGGTCAGCCTGAAATGTCAGTTAGATCCAAAATGAAACATTCTGTTTTGATTTGGGGTTGTTTAACTCCTGCTTTTCCTCTGAATTTAGGTGACTTTTAATGTGAGGAAAAAACTCGCTGCAAACTAAAAAGTCAAGATGTTTCTTTCTGAAAATGTTGAAGGGATGCATTTCTTCCTTGCCAAAACAAGGCCTTTGATTTTAACAATTTTAACTGAAATTCAGTATCTTGAACTCTTTTTTTTTTTTTTAGATTATTGTCCTAGCACCAACCTGCCAGCTCCTCACCCTCTTTGCTACAGCAACAACTACCTGCCAGGTTCATCTGCCATTCAGTTACATCTCTTTAAAGATCAGTTTCTCAGCAAATTTATTATCTGTCGAACCTCTGATCTCTTTGCTTGAACAAATACAATATTTTACTAATAAAGAAGTGAGTTACAAAGTGACCTGTCCTGAATAACATTAAAAAATGTGTGGTGATCCCCCTGAGACTTGGCCCTCCATCCTACCTTCCCACAGCCCCTCTTTCCCCAGGAGCTTCCAGTGCCTGTGTGAGCTGATGTGTAATAAAAGCCAGCTGTCATGTTCAGGGCTGCACAAGGATGGGACACTCTGGCTGTGGGAGGAAATAGGGTGAATTATGTCTTCTCTGAGAGGTGACTGATAAATATTTGCTGCACAGCAGAGGTCAGCTCTGGTCACGGCTGAGATTCAGGGAAGTTCTGGAATGTGAGAGGTGAAGATCCTTTCAGCATTACTCTGGTGACTAATTTTGAGGATTCTGTGCAGGCTGCAGGTACAGAAAGCTTCAAGGAGGTGTTTTGACCCGTGCATAGGAGAGATTGGTTAAATTTGGTACAGAAGGTGTGAACTTCAAGAAGACTGAGATGAGCAGAAACATGGCAGCACTAGGATGTGGTTTCTCTGTGCACTTGGGGTTTTCAAAAGGGCTGATGGGATACCAGACCCCCACTGAAATTTATTCCTGCAGCTGGAGTAGATCTTCCTGGACATTGTTCCACAGAACTTGATTGGAGCTTCTCACAGGTTTCTCTGAAGCTCTGCCTTTGCTGGGTGTGGGGAAGCACACAGGCAGTTCCTGTTCAAGGTGTTGCCTCAGTACTCTTTGGCCCTCTGGCAGCTCTGGAATTGGTCAGTACAAACTGGGCAGTCCCTGACTGCAGTCTGAGCATCACTGCTCTGAGTCCTCCACCCATGATGAGGTTCTTGGATCACCTCATTTTCTAAGGAAGAAGTCTGGGTGTAACACCAGTTACACCAGGCAATCCGAAGAGCCACTGCAGGCAAGAATGGACAGAAAAGTTCTTCTGACTCTGGTTAAAGATCTACCTCAGCTTAAAGTACAAAAGGGAAGTGGTTTGGGGCAGAGGGAAAATCCAACTTGTCAAGGAAAGGAGATGAAGGTAGAATGCTTGTAACTGAGAGCAACAGGGCCATGGACTGACTGCTCGTGAGTGCATTTCAAATACAGAGCAATTTGCTTTATACAAATGGTATCTGGGGGTTCCTGTAGGTCAGCCTGGGTCAGGTCCTCGTGAAGGTGCAGAAGCAGCTCCTCCTGGTGAGTGGGCACTGGGCCAGGGGGCATCTCAAGATGCTGAAAATGTTGCTGGACACTCTTGGAAGAGGGTTTTCGCATGTAGATGTGAAGCAGTGGGAGGCTGTTATTGCTGCTGAGGCACTGCAAGCAATCTCAGTTCTGGGAGTGTTTTGAACCTTCAGGTATTGAGGTGGAGCGGGAAGGGGGAGAATCAGAAATGGAAGGAGATTAATTCTTGAAGCCTGTCTGCATTTTTTTACATAAATTCTGCTCTGCATCCAGACATGTAAGGCACAGGCTGCAAAAATCCCTACTTCTGCTGTAGGCAGAGCAGAGGATAAATATATATGGATGAATAAACAAGGCAAGTAATCCAATCTCATTGCTAGTATTCAGTTCCTGCACTGTTGCTCTAGGCAACCAGCTTGAGTGGGGATATTGTCTATAACCTTAAAAACTGATTATAGGCTACTTCACTGCCTCATACGGTCTTAAAGAGGATTAGAAGAGAGTGTAAAGCTGGCTTAGGCACTATGTTAACAAAGCCTCAAAGGCATCTGCAGATTTCCTTGTTCATGAAGTGATTAACTTATTTAGTAACTGTGAAAAAATGTGAACATTGGGGGAGCCAGGCTGGTAATAATTAAGAGATGTAACTCTGCCATCCAGAGCCGCGCCCGGGCTGACAACTGTCTGTGCCTCCCAGCACCACACCCGGCCGTGCCCAGAGCCCTGGAGTGGGTCTGTGCTCAGGCTCATGCAGGTCTCCTCCATGGCGTACAGCTGGAGGGGAAGGAGTGTTCACAGTGGGGAGGAGGAAGGCCCCACCTGGCAGCGGTGCCTTTCAGCGCTCCAGAGGGTTGTCCTGCATCCTGATGGGATCCCGTCGGGATCCCGTGTGTCACTGCAGGACAGCGTGGCTGAGGCATTTTGGGCGAGCTGGAGCAGGGCTGGTGACCCACACCCATCACTTTGCTTCCTCCTTCACCTGCTTTTAAACTAAAGAATGAAAAGGGCAGTGAAGAACAACACCCTTATCCTGAACTGAAGCGTGCTGGCTGGGGCAAACACCCAGAAGCCAAAGTCAGGGTGTCAAGTGATTGTAAATGGAAGGTGAAGCCAATCCTGGTTTTGTTTCTTCACAGTTTGACAGCAAATTGTTTTCTTTGATGATAATGAAGGCAGCAAGCCCACCAGGGAGGGCTCTGATGGGGCCCCCATCTCAGAGGATGCCCAGCTGGATCTCCTGATGTCACAAGTGTTGAGCATCCTGTCTCTGACAAATAAGGCTTTCTAGAACTGAAAACATGCAAAAATGTTGGGTAATGCTGGATATCTTGGCTTGTATCTGTCCTGAAAGTAAAACAAGTAGAAGTGGTTTGAAATAATGCCAAAACCAAGTCTTTGACTTCAGTGTGTTTTCCGTTTGTGAAAATCCTCAGACATCACAAGGATGAAAGAGGAGATGTTGAAAACAAAGATAAACAGCATCAGCAGTGTGTGGTGGATCTGATGTGGATCCTTCAGTTTTGTCAGGCTTGATCTGGATGAGCTGTAAGAACTCTTTATTGATGCACAGCCCATACTTCACTGAACATTTCTAACTTTCATTTCCCCCTCCAGGTCAATGTGTTGTGGTTTAATGAGGCGATTTCATAAATCCATACAGAAGTTCCATGAAAATCCAGATTAATGATGGAAAAAATGAGGAGATAAGATAATTCCCTGTGTATTTATAACACACTGTGGTTAAAACTCAAGCTCTTTACCATCCCAAGTTTTACATGTGTGTAAAGCAACGGGAAGATGAGAATATGCCTTGTGAAGGGAAAACAGACCCTCTGAAGAAGTAACTTAAAAACAGTTAAAAGTCAGGAAGATTTAAATAGAGGGAATTAAATTCTACATATTTATCAATATGGGAAGGTGCATGAGGCCTGTAAATAGTCCACAAGCTTTCTGTTAGTGCATGGGGACACATTTTGATCTTGGCAGAGTGGAATGGCACTTTGTGTCTTCCATCTCTCCACTTGTTTTCCTGTCATTGCTTCAGCCCCAGGTAATGAATGGGATTTTCAAAGTCACACAGCCTTGACCTGTTTTCTTTGTCGCCAAATTCAACTAAAAAAAAAAATTCTGCCTGCCTTTCTATTTCTGGCTTTCTCAGAAGAGGGGAATTCAGGGGAATAAATGGACAGGCAGTACTATTGGCTTAAGGAAAACCATTAGAGACCTGTGTGTGCCTCCCCACTTAGCTCCTTGCAGGAAAATAGGTGCTGTTGAATGCTGCTCTTGTGTTAACAGCTCTTCTGAGTCTGCCATTGTAGGTACCTGTGTTCCATTCAGCATCTTAGGAAGAAACCAAAGTAGCATCTTATGGATGAAAAATCTCCATTTTAACCTCTACAGATGTCAATTGTTCTAAACCTATATGCAGCACCTGGCATCAGGGCTTACTCACCAGTTATTGACAGCATCCCTTGCAACACTTGAAAATACATTCTCAATACATGTTGGCTGGAAAACAGCTTAAGTGCTCAGTAGTTGTTCCAGTCCTATCTGCTTTCTACACCTCCTCACCTCTTTCTTGAACCACTGTGCATTAACAGTTTTCCCATAATGATGTAATTTTATCCACTTTCCAGCAGACCAGAAATACTTAATATGTTTAGTGGCTCCCAGGGTATAGCATGAATTCATCTGGGTTAGTAGATCTTCATCTTTAAAAACCTTGTGGTAGGCAGGGTGTCAGATTTTTCTCTCTTGATTCACAGGACCTGTATTTACGTGCAGCAAAGACTGGTCTGCTCCTTTCACGAGTGTCTGGACAATGTCAAAAGGCAGTTTCTATTCTGGTTTGGTCTAAGAGGTGATGGGGCCAAGAAAGACTTCATGTCTCATGATCTGTTTGTGTAAGTCATGTCCCTTAAGTTAATTTGCTGAGGATGCTGCTGGCAGTGGGTACTGGCATGGGAGTTAGTGGAAGGAATCCTTACATCAGGTAAGGTCCTCCACATGTTGCCTGAGGAAATGGCTTCACACTTCAGCCCAGTACTTGTCATTTTTAGGGAAACTCCTGTGGGTATGTGGAGACCTCCCTAAGGAGAGAAACCTAACTGAGGAATTAGATATCCAGGAAACGTGCTGCAGTTCCATTCTCCACGTACCTAATGGTGTGTGGCTCCTGCTGTGACCTATCCCAGTGGGGCTGGATTGGAATCTGCCAGAGAGGGTGTTTCTCTGGGTGTGCACTGGTGTGAGTCACACAGGGAGGCTCCTGTCGAAGGGCAGCAGCCCCAGAGCTCCAGGGCTGCTCGGCAGAGTGGAGGAGCAGCAAGTGGCCCTTACGTGTTTCATTATGAGAGCCCTGGAATAACACTTTAGGCCTGGTTCAAAGCCACATTTTAAATCAATGAGTAATCCTTTCTCCTCCTCTCTTTCCAAACTTTTGGCTCCTCGAAACCTGAAGGGGAAAGGCAGGGAAGTTATTTCTCTTCCAGCCAGGGGCTGAGCAGTGGATCCAGAGTGGGAGGTTGGCAGGTTGAATATGTCACCAGCCACTTGGGCAGGGAGGGAGATCCTGCTCCTTCCCTCTGAGAAAAAGAGACGTGCTCCCTCTACCTGCAAGAACCCCAACGTGAATCACTTCATCCCGTGCTCCTCCCGAGGGTCATTGACACTGAGTGTTGAAGCCATTCCATGGCTGAAACTCAACCAACCATCAGCGCTCTCCTTTGGCTGTGCACGGAGCTGTGGGGGGAACTGGATGCCTTCCAGAGCAAACAGCCCATTCCCGTGGTCCAGCCAGGCTGCAGCAGCTGTGGCAGGAGAGGGGGAATGTTAAACACATCAAACTGGGTTTTGATTTCAGGGATGAACTGGTGC